TATTCTGCCTCCAGTTTCACAAGTGTCACTTATATCTGTCTTTGCACATGGGTAATTTTAATAGAAAACACACAACACACACATGAGGAAACCAGACAGACAAGATCCTCAAATTCTCTTCAGAAAACTGAGGATGAGTGGAGACCTAAGGGCCAAGAACCTTTTTTTTAGTTATTCCCCCCCACCCAGGACAGTCTGCTTTATTGATTTTCCCTCAAACATATATCCTACATATCCCTGTCCCTCCGTCATTTTTTTATTTATAAAATACCTTACCACCATTCTATGATACCAGGACAGTCTGCTTTATTGATTTTCCCTTAAACATATATCCTACATGTCCCTGTCCCTCCTTCGTCATTTTTTTTATTTATAAAACACCTTACCACCATTCTATGATGTGCTCATTATGACACAGGTGTAAAACAAATAATGAAATATGTGCCATTAGCATTACTGTAAACAGGGAATTACCAGAGATAACTTCGGGAAGGAACCTAGTTCCAAACTCAAAGCTGGCTTTGAATTAGTCAAGACATACTAGTACCTGACAGTATACAATATGGAAATTCAGGTTCTTTTCCTGTAGTCCTGCTTATTCCCATTGTGAAATTAAGAAGCCTAGGAAACCACAATATATATTTTAGCATTTGCCTCCGTTCACATCCTGTTGCGATACAGAAACAGAACATTTGGGTACTGGGCATGATCTGGCAGAGATGTTCACTGGATCTCCAGATGAAACCAGGAGGAGAGTTTCCATGATTTATGATGGATCTGAGGAGCAAAACCCCAGAGTTCACAGGACCAAGGATAGAGGTACAACTTGTGGATGGTCCAGAGCAAAAATAACTTAAAGTTTAAAAAAAAAAACTGGGATGGAAGGGCGAGGTATAATCTTGTTGTTTCTGGTTGACTAATGATTTATTTAGTAAGTCAAGTCCAGAAATGTATGGCTTAATTTATTTGCAAAGTCAGAGATCCTCTGCATAATTAGAGGTGAAGGTTGATCACTCACCATGTTTTAGATCCTCACTGCATAAGATGCTGATTCTATCTTTCCTGCTTTAAAATCATTTTCTTACCAGTAACTAATATGATTCCCCTTTGTTATACATGTCTATGGAATCAAGACAAGCAGAAGAAGCTATGTTAACATTCCATTCATCATTCCTCTTATAGACATGTTTTTGCTCTTACTGTATTTTCACAATCACATCCTTTTTTGCTACTTAAGGGAACATTGCTTCTAGATATGGGATCAACATTTAACTAGTGAAGTGCTCACTCTTTTTGAGTTTTTCAAATACGGTATCTACACTGCCCAGGGTGCTGAAAAAGACAGAAGGAGGGGTGATAGACTAGAAAAGGAAGAGGAGGAAGGTGTAACATGTATAGAGAAAAAAGCGTAGTGATACAAATGAGTTAAGAAAATAGCAATACTTTATTTTAATATTACTTGGTGTGTCCTTCACAGTCTTGTAATACAGATAGGATATAAACCAACGTATATGCAAAGGACAACAGATCAGCAAATGATCAACAGATCAGCCAATATAAAAGGCAAGTCTTAACTATAAACTGGTAGATACACTCTGAGTATCTGGAAGCTTGTGTATCTTCACACACCTTTTGACAAGATATCCAAACATCCTCACTTCAGAGTCATATGGACTTGTGTCAGTTCACCTATCTTGCAAAAAAACAAAAAGCTTCATTTGATGTGGGATATACAGTATTACTCAGTTTGCCATGCTGATGAATGATGGCTTAGTTATCTACTGAATAAACAAGCTGTTTAAACATAGTTGGTAAAATAGAATTTATGTTCTCTTGAAATCGACCAAACTTTCTATGGCAGACGATTTAGTTGCCCTGCATGTTCTGTGATGGTGGAAGATCTAATATACACAGCAATTAGGATTACTTTGTGTTTCTTAGCTAAGGCCTAACACTGAAACTAGTTTTCAAGATCAGTGAAATTGTAACCTGCGTACATCTCCATCAAATTGCTATGGCCCTAACATCATTCTCCTAAATGAGGGCCTAAACTTCTTTCTGGACAGAATCCCTACAAACTTCAAGAGGTGGTTATGTTGGAAAGTTCCTGTACTATACAATAGAAATAAGAAATGCTGTACCTTCACTCGAATACATAGAAAACAAAACCTGTTAGAGAGGAGGTTGTACGAAAACTCTTAGCTCTGGCATCTCGGAGCAAAATACTTCAAAAATTATTTTTACTTATTTCATAGGGGGGAAACTTTGAGTCCTGTGAGCCATCCCTTGAGTCAGGGTGCAATGAGACAGTGAAAAGGGTGCATGTCTGATCACACTGGAAAGGATTGCTTTTATAGGAGTGATGTCCCTTAGCAACCCTTTCATCCATCAGGGAATTGCTCCAGGCTGGATCCAAAAATGTAGTGGACCAAAAATGGTCCAGATTGGGTATGAATCACAGTCTGGCTGCAGCATTGTTACCCATACATCATGTTGATTGCCCGGAGATAACTCACCTCAAACGTTTCTGCTGGTGGCCAAAAATGTGAGCTATATGCCTGTGTAACTGCACCACCAGACCCAGTATAGTCCAGAAGCAGGTTTATCACCTCTTCATTTGCTGCCCAAACTTTGCTGATGACCGTAAGGTCAATTTGCTTTAACAAGAGATTCTAGAGGAAATAGCAAAAAAATTCCCATTTGGTGATTCAAGGGGTGACTGTAAATGCATTTTAATCTTGTTTGAGCCTCACTTTAACACCTTGGGTGGGAGAAAGGAAAAGACAAGTCTGAGAAATCCCCTGAAAGCTGGCCAATGGTGCTAAGGCACTGTTAAGTTGTGCATAGGAAGACTCAGGACTAAGGACTTTACTCCTGATTAATTTTAAGCATCAGCTTGACAAGTTAAATATTTTTATTTCAAGTTTGTATTCATTTCAAGTTTAAAAAAAACAATTACATCTCTTAAAGATGTGTGGCAGAGGAATCATAAGTAACTCTCTTACTAGAAGGAATCAGAAAAACCTCTTTGACAACTTCCTCTTCCTGATCAAATTGCTGCAGGTCAGAATAGTCATGAGGAACAAGAAGAACAGATTTGATGGTTGTTGTGGGTTTTTCAGGCTCTTTGGCCGTGTTCTGAAGGTTGTTCTTCCTGACGTTTTGCCAGTCTCTGTGGCTGGCATCTTCAGCGGAACAGGAGTAAGAACCCTGTCCATACTCTGTTGCTGTTTGTTGGATAGTTGAGTATTTATAGCTGTGGGAATAGCTTTTGTCCTTTTCAGGAGATAGGGTGATCAGCGTGTTTTTGTTGTGGATGTATTGTTGTGATAAGTGGGAGAGATTATCTGTCACTGTGGTTGATGGGTGTCTTTAGCTGGTCTCTTTTGTGCAATTGTGGTCCTTGCGGCTGGCTAGAGTTCATTGACTTTCTGCAGGCTCTATTTTCCAGTGCTGGAAGCCAGGCCTTGTTCAGTTTCAGACTTTCTTTTTTGGTGAAGATATGCTGATGTTTATGGATTTCAATGGCTTCCCTGTGTAGTCTAACATAACGATTCCTGGTGTTGTCCAGTACTTCAGTATTTTGAAATAGAATTTCATGTCCAGCACAGATTTATTTATTGTAAATATTTTTACCCAGCCTTTCTCCTTAAAAGGACCCAAAACAGGCTTTTGATAACTACCTTCTTCCACACATATCTGCCTATCAATGAGATCTGCATCAGGGGTCCTTTTGGGGGAATCACCCTGATTTGTATATGAGGTGCTTCTCAGAAATAAGTTTTTTTCAGTAGCAGTGCCCAAACCATGGAACGCCTTCCCACACCATGCATGCCCAGCATGTTCTTTTGTTAACTTTTCTGTATCAGGCATAATCCATCCTGTTCTCCCATGCCTTCAGTGACATTTAATGAATGCCTTTTGCTTTATCCTTAAGTTTCATTGTTATTATTGGGTGGTTCTACTACCTATTGCTCCTTTTGTGACTCACACTATTTTTAATTGTTCTCAAGTTAATTGTAACCCATCTCATGAATACTAGCAATAAGACAGAAATCTTATCAATAAACAAGTATGTAATGTTTGCAGTTAACTTAGAGCACCAGACAATGCTTTCCTTACACGTCTTTTTCAAACTCAACTCTCTTTTCCTGTCTCTCTTCATTTTCTCCTCTTTACTCAGAAATCAAATAGTCAAACAGCTAGTTGGCTCCTTTTCGAGTTGAGTCAGAGAGATCAAGCAATCCCTATCAGCCAATGTGTGCCTCAAACTGAAGAGCATCAGCCGAAAGCCAAGGTTTTCCAAAAGGAGAGGAACTTGAACAGAGGAAACGGAATACGAGCAAGAAAGGGAAAAGAAACTAGGCATTTCGGAAAACTTTCTGAAGTTGTGCAGAGGAAGGGGAAACAAAGACTTTCAAGAGCTCTACACTTTCCTCAGCATCTGTAGGAATACAGAAAATATAGGAGCTCCACAGATTCCTTGGCATCTATACTGAAGATTCAAAGAAGCAATTTGGACCCACTGGATTTTTCCACAAATGTCCCGATAGCTATATATACTTAACCCAGTAGCTCTCCAAAAAGTTTTTTGCGGACTTCCAGAAAATCTGCAGTATCTCCATATTTCGAAGCAGCCTTCCAGAATCCTACTACTAGGCATCTAGATGCTACAGTCATAGCCTTCCAAAGGATTTTCCACTAGCTCTTCAAGATTTTCATATCAGTGGTCTATAAGCTCTCATTAGCTGTTCCTGACCTTCCACGGTCCGCTAGCTACCCAAACCCTGCATCTTCCACAAAGCTCATTTGGAGAGTTCTAGATTAAAAAAACAACACAACATAACCATCATAACGCCTTTCAAAATTTTCCAGCTGTTCTTGAAAAATTAACCAGGCAGTTCCTGGAGCTTCTCTGAAAACACCTTGAAGTTGATCCAGACTTCTCCCTCCTAAGTATCAGAAAAGGCTTCTGAGAGTACCTAACATTCTAGGACTAACCCAGAAGAACCTCTAGAAACATCTTTCACTGCATTCCCAAGATCTCTGGAACAACTGTTAGCATCCTAACCTGTCCTGTATCAAGGTGTTTCCTACAATTCAAACTAAACACAAGAAGGTACTCCTTTGCTGCTATTTCTCTAAAGCTTGTGTATTCCAGATCCTGCCTATTAGAAGGGGGAGCTGGCCACAAAAGTAAAGGCATCCTTTGTCACCACTGCTGCTACTACTTGCATCTATCACTGTTGGTCTCCTTTTTTACTGCCAAGCTGGAGTCACTCAAGCGCTGGAATGAGGAGAGGATGGTCTGGTGTGAGAAAGGTGTCCAGATTTTACTCACCACCGTGGGGGCCTTTGCAGCCTTTGGCCTCATGATCATTGCCATCGGCACAGATTACTGGCTGTATGCCCGTGCCTTCATCTGCAATACGACCAACATCTCTACGGAAGAAACTCCTCAAAAAGACAAAAAGGATCCTGGAGGGCTTACTCATTCAGGCCTCTGGAGGATATGCTGCTTAGAAGGTGAGGAATCTGATCTAATAAAACCTAGTCAACACAGGGCTAAAGCACACATTCAGAGAAATTTGTTTCCAGAAGGAGTCCTCCATCAAGTGGCAATAGAGGTACAACTGTGATAACAAATTAAAAGGAGAAGCATCTGTGGAGCCTGAATTATATCTGGAATAAAAACAACTTATTTTGCATGCCTAATATTGAAGTCAAAAATAATTAATCAGTTAACAATGCTGGGGACAAAACACTGAAAGAGCAGGATGGACACATTTTTCTGAATGTGTGTTTTGGCCCTGAAATAAAGTTCTCGAATAAGACTTTTGGTCAGGGAGCTCCAAGAACATGCATACTCTTAGCTAGGAAGGAAAGCCTACTGGAAAATAACAAAGTAGTACTGTATACCAAACTGCAAAAAATAATGACAAAGCCTGAAAGAGTATTTCCAGAGGATTTATCCAGTAAAGAAATGAGCTGAAGGCAGAGGACAAGAAGTCTAAATAAAAGGCTAATAACACTAATTGGCTTAAAACACAAGATCCTTCCACACTTGAGCTTTTCAGCACTTCTGAGGTACTATCTTGTTAGCTGAAAACAGAATTCAGACCGTTCTTTGCTCATAGCACTTGACAACAGATGGATCTACGTATATTATCCAGCAATTCCTATCCTTGTGGTTGAGTTGTTCTGTAATGCTAAATATTTATGTATTTATTTATTTAAAATATTTTTACCCCACCTTTCTCCTTGAAAAGGACCCAAGGCAGCTTACAACAGTGAAAGACAATATTTAAAGTTGAAAACAATTAATATACAATGGTAGGTATCATTAAAATACAATATTTAAAGCTAAGAATGAAGAATAAAGAGGCATCTTATATCATTAAAAGGCAATATTAAAGCTAAGAATAATAAGTATTCAATTAAAAAAAATAAGTGCCACTCTTAGAAATGAGAAATACAAAAATGGAAAGCACAGGTAGTACTAAAAATCCAGTCAAAGCAGTAATACATATCAGTCCATCTAAAAATTACACAGAAGTAGTGCAGGAAGGCTTGCCTAAAGAGAAGATCTTTGCTTGCTTGCGGAAGTACAGCAAAGATGGGGGCAACCTGGCCTCCAGTGGGAGGGAGTTCCAGAGTCTGGGAGCAGCAACAGAGAAGGCCCTCTCCCATGTACCCATTAGACGCACTTGCAAAGGTGGTGGGACCGAGAGAAAGGCCTCTCCGATGCTCTTAACACCCAAGCTGGCTCATAATGGGAGATATGGTCTTTGAGGGCATTTAGGGCTTTATAGATTGAAACCTGTAGTGTACTTTGAATTGTGCCAAGAAACTGATCAGCAGCCATTGAAGCTGCTATAACGGGATTTTGTGATCCTTGTAACCAGCCCCAGTCAGCAATCTGGCTGCTACATTTTGGATCCACTGAAGTTCCCTGAGACTTTCCATCAACAGCCTCACACAGAGCGTGTTATAGTAATCCAGCCAGGAGGTAACTAGAGCGTGTATTCACAGTGGCCAGATCAGATCTCTCAAGAAACAGATGTAGCTGGCATACTAGTTTTAATTGTGCAAATACACACCTGGCTACTGCTGAGATCTGGGCATCCAGGCTCAGGGATGAATCAAGGAGCACCCCCAAACTGTGCTCCTGTTTTTTCAATGGGAGTATAACCCCATCCAGGACCAGCGGCATCCCTATTTCTGATCTACCTTTCGACTATCCAGGGCCACCTTTGTCTTGTCTGGATTATGTTCAATTTATTCAACCTTATCCAGTCCATTACTGATACCAAACACTGATTTAGAGCTGAAGCAGCTTCCTTGGATTTAGGTGGCAAGGAGAGGTAGAGTTGGGTGTCATCCACCTACCGGTGACACTGAACCCCAAAACTCCGGATAATCTCTCCCAGCAGCTTCATGTAGATGTTAAAGAACATAGGAGATAAAACAGAACCCTGAGGGACCCCACAGGTCAGCGGCCAGGATGTCGAACATGACTCCCCCAGCGCCACCTTCTCAGTTTTTTCCCTCCAGGAAGGAATGGAGCCACTGTAAAACAGTGCCCCAAAGCCCCATTTCAGAGTCACAGGTCAGGAGAATACTATGGTCAATCAAAAGTCGCCGAGAGGTCCAGCAAAACCAACAGGGACACAGATTCCCTATCCAGTTCCTGGCGCAAGTCATTACCAAGGCGACCAAAGTTGACTCTGTCCTATAACCAGGCCTGAAGCCACACTGAAACAGATCTAGATAATCTGTCTCATCCAGAAACTTCTGGAGCTGAAAGGCTAAATCCACTCTAGCACTTTCCCCAAGAACAGGATATTGGATACTGGTCAGTACTTATTCAATAATATGGGGTCCAAAGAGGGCTTTTTTAACAGTGGTCTTCTTATTGCCTCCTTAAGCATGATGGGATCCTACCTTGTTGCAAGGAGACGTTCGTCACTCCTCCTACCCACTCAACCAGACCCTTTCTGGCAGTTTTTATGAGCCAGGGAAGTCAAGGATCCGGCAGGCATGTGGTAGCCATCACCTCCCCAAGGGTCCTGACCACATCATCAGGCTGTAGAAACTGAAACTCATTCATTAACACAGAGCAAGCAGGGGCCATGGTTTTATTCACAGGACCTGAGACATTTACAGCATCCAAGTCAGAGCAGATCTGAGCAATTTTGCGTGCGAAGTGTTGTGCAAATTCTTCACAGCAAGTTACAGTGTGGTCTGCATTATCTTCTTGGGGGCTAGTAAAAACACCTGTCCTGTGGTCAAGATATTTTGCAATATTAATTGAATCCAGTTGATTAAAGGTTCCATACAACTTTAATTAGAAGCTTCCTGCTCATGGTTTTTGACTCTAGATGCTATATGTTCAGGGTTACATTAGCATCATTGGTGAAACCTCTTAATTGTCCCTGTTTTTCATTTAAGTACAGTACTGGCCAGAATCCTATTGGTGATTGCATAAGATTTTTGACCTTGCTGTTTCTGATTGTAGCTAATTGATGATCATGTGGCTAGACACAAGATTAAATAATAGAAACTGGTCTAGTCGCTGACGAGTTTAAATATTGATTTCCTCTCATCATTTATTTAATTTCTAAATTGTGAAATTGTTACTTTGTGATTAAAGAAAAACAAGTCGAGAAAATTAGTATATAACCCCTTTGTTCTAGTGGCAAACAGAAAGTGAAAGGCAGTTAAATTGCAGCTCATTAGCCATGGTGAATAAGAGGCAATCAGTGACAGACGTCACAAGGAGGAAGCATCTAATAAAAGTCATAGTAGCTCTAAAAAGCTTAAGTAATGCTTTTTCCGGCTAGATCCTATAAGTTAGAACTATATTTGATTGCAGGGCAAACAAATGAATAATGGCTAAAATCCTGCTTAGTGCAGTGAATTAAACTCAGACAGGTCTACTGAATCCATTGGGATTTGGTGAGTCAACTTCTCTGCAAATGGCATTAATTCAAATGGGCCAACTCTAACTGCCAGTTAATTTAGCATAAGATAAGAGAAAAAAACAGAAAACACTAGAGGTTAGACATTATATCATTCTGAGTCTCAGTAAAACTTGACTTAACAAAAGATGGCAGTTCCAGACTAAACCCAAGGTTCCTCCATAAAAAAAAACATGGCTTAAGTGTTCACTCAGACAAACCACTGATTAAGTGGACTGAGAGGGAATGGATTTGAATTTTGAAAAGTACTGCAATCCGTGTTCGTCCTATCCCACTGTCTCCGCATTTTGCTATATTCAAAGAACATAAAACAAGATGGAGCACAAGAGATCAGATGGTTGGTGTCACCAGGGGCAGGAATGATGATTACTTCCCATCCCAATGGAAGCCTGGAGACCCCTAGCTAAGTGAATGGTTGCATCCATTTCTGTAATAGGGATCTAACAGCACAGTATTTGGGGATACAATTACAGTGAGGGGGAACCTCTTAATCTATGGCATGAATAACGGGGCCCTCACTGACAGCAGATTCTACAGATTATGCTCCCTCCACCCCAAAGAAAGCAGAGGAGCTGTTCGCTTAAATCTACAAGCCAAACTTCAACACAGTTTTCCTGTCATGACAAGCATTATGCTAACTGTAAATAAATGTACGTTTTTTTAATCTGAAGCAGTCTCTCACTCCTGAATTCCTCACCCTTCCCACATAACAGTAAACAGGCTGCCACATTGCCCACACAAGACTCAATCAGAGATCCCAGGTTTTCACCCGGAAACAGCGCCTTAAAGTATAAATGCTCTGATGCCATGAACAAGGCTGCAGACGTTATGTCTCCTGTCTTCCCCCTCACCATCCTTGCACTGTAGAGCAGATTCAGAGGCTTCCATACTCGCTGTTTTCTCCAGAGTTACATTGCTTCCTTCCTTCCTGCAATACATGATGAATGGTATGTCAATACTTCCAAAACTGCAAAGTAGGATAGGCTACAAGACAGCCTTTGTTTATATTCCACAGATGCAAACTGCTGCAATCCATGTATTTAACAGCTCTAATGTAACATAACTCATAACTGAAATGGAAACTGATGCCTTCTTTTCCTTTTTCAAAGCTTCATCTAAACCTCTGAAGTCCAAGGCCAGGGTGTTTGATAACCCCTCCAGCTGAGCAGGGCCAGCTTTCTGGCTAGGTAAAAAGAGCTAACGCCAATTCAGAATTCCATTTAAGTACGTTTATTTAAAGAATCTGGAGTGATCAGCAGAGAAAAATGCAGAGATGATCAGGTGCTTTAATAAAATGAGAGGCAGGTTTAACTACCTGAAGCACACTGAACGCACCAAAACCCACCTGAGACTCCATAACACGACTCAACCTTGTTTTGACTCTTTGCCAGCCACCCAAAAACAAAGGAAGTTTTCCTCACAAACAAAAATATTCCTATGATAGGCACTAGAAAACTCCCAGAGAGGGAAATTCAGACTGTCCAATCAGCAGCCCGCGAGGACTTCATTCCAGGTGAGTCATGCGAGTATCTGATTAACATATGGAGCCACATGGGGAAACTGAAGGGGGAAAGTCAGCTTCAGATAGGTAGAAATGCTCATGAGGGCATTTCAGAAAATGTATAATTCTGCAAATCAGTGATTAAGGAGATGGGGTAGAAGAAGGATTGGGTTCTGCCCTTGCCATTTCCTATGTCAAGATTACAGCCTCTGCTGGCTGCTTGCATCTCCACCGTTATATGTCTTGCAACACATTTCTCCATTTCTTTTTCAACTGCTTGCTTTATTCTTAAAATGATTATTCTGTTTAGCCACTGAAATACAGCCACTCAGATTTTCTTTTCTTCTTTTCAAGCTTCTGTCTATAGCTGGTGCAATAATGGACAGCCCACTGTTTTCAACTCTGTGGAAGTGGATGTTGTGGGATTGTGAGGAAAAAATACTATGCAGAGCTTGGACTTGCAAACAGTTCGTTGTAATTAATCGCTCTTTCCAATA